GCGGGTGTTGGATGAGTTCCCAGAACTCTTTCAGACGCCGACCACCTTGCCGCCCCACAGACAGGTTGATCCTCGGATCCAGCTCAAGGAAGGGGGTGGAGGCTGTGAATGTCCGTCCATACCGGTACAGGCACTCGCAGAAGGAGGAGATCAAGCAGCAGGTGGAGGAGATGCTCGAGACAGGGCTAATCCGCCCTAGCACTAGTCCTTTTTCCTTGCCGGTACTTCTGGTCAAGAAAAAGGATGGGACTTGGCGATTCTGCACGGACTACAGGGCACTCAATGTTGCGACGGTGAAGGATCGGTTTCCGATCCCCACAGTGTATGATATGCTCGACGAGCTCCATGGCTCGGCCTACTTCACTAAGCTCGATCTGCGGGCCGGGTACCACCAGATCCATATGCAGGAGGAGGATGCGCACATGACCGCTTTCAGCACTCATAATGGCCACTATGAGTACTTGGTCATGCCCTTCGGCTTGTGAAATGCTCCTTCGACGTTTCAGGCGGCTATGAACGATATTTTCAGGCCGCTACTGCGCCGGTATGTTCTTGTATTCTTTGATGACATTCTGGTTTACAGCCCATCATGACAAGCGCATTTGCAGCATTTACAGACAGTCTTTGAGGTTTTGCGGCGCCACCAGTACTACCTCAAGGCTTCGAATTGCGCGTTTGTGGTGCAGAAGGTTGAGTACCTGGGTCACATCGTCACACCCCAGGGAGTGCAGGTGGACCAGTCGAAGATACAGGCGATGGTCGAGTGGCCTACCTCGACCACTATTACGGAGCTGAGAGGCTTCCTGGGCCTGACAGGGTACTACTGGAAGTTTGTGCAGGGGTACAGCATGATCGTCCGACCCTTTACTAATTTGCTGAAGAAGGGCGGGTTTACATGGACCTTGGAGGTGGAGACTGCCTTTCAGCGGCTGAAGCAGGCCATGACCTCTACTCCGACTCTAGCTATGCCGGATTTCTCCCGGACCTTTGTGATCGAGGCCGGGGAATTGGGGTGGTGCTACCTCAGGACCGTCATCCGGTGGCCTTCGTGAGTAAGACCTTGGCTCCCTCCAAGGAGGCTTAGTCTACGTACCAGAAGGAGATGCAGGCTATCATTACCGCAGTACAGATGTGGCGACCGTACCTTCTGGGCCAGAAGTTCCACATCTACACCGACCATCAGAGCTTGAGGAACCTATTGGAGCAGCGGTTTCCACTCCTGATCATCACAAGTGGGTCGCGAAGCTCCTGGGCTATGATTATGAGATCCATTACCGGCTTGGCCCCTCCAACATCGTGGCAGATGGGCTTTCGAGGCGGCGGGGAGGCGAGGTATTGGCAGCAGTGACGGGACCGGTGCCTTAGTTTTGGGACGCGCTCCGAGCCCTGACGGAGATAGATGCCTATTTGCGGGGTTGCCGGGATACAGCAGTTAGTGAGGCCCCGGGCCATTACTCATTCCGCCAAGGGTTGGTGTTCTTTCGAGGACGCCTCGTCCTTCCCCGGGGTTCTTCCCTGGTGACGACCGCGTTGCAGGAGTACCACGATTCTCCTTTTGGAGGGCATTCCGGGGTGGAGCGGACCCTGAGGCGGATCCGGGCGCAGTTTTATTGGCCCCAGATGGGCCAGGATGTGAAGGACTATGTCGCCTCCTGCGACACCTGTCAGCGGGTTAAGGCGTCTCATCTTCGGCTGGTCTATTGCAGCCATTGCCGGTACCCGAGCGGGTGTGGGAGGACATGAGCATGGACTTCATTGTCGGCCTACCCCCATCCGGCGGTAAGAAGGTCTTGTTCGTAGTCGTGGACCGATTGACGAAGTATGCTCATTTCATGGCCTTCGCGCACCTGTATACGGCCCGAGCAGTCGCAGAGCAATTTGTGATGGAGGTAGTACGCCATCACGGGTTTCCGAGATCGATTGTCAGTGATCGGGATTCGGTTTTCTTGAGCCGTTTTTGGCAGGAGGTATTCGCTATGGCTCGGACGACATTGCAGATGAGCCCTGCCTACCATCCCCAGACGGATGGCCAGACGGAGGTGGTCAACCGATATTTGGAGCAGTATCTGCACTGTTTTGCCCACCAGCAGCCACGACGGTGATTGGCCTTGTTGCCATGGGCCGAGCTATGGTATAACTCCACATATCATAGGGCGATCCAGACGACCCCGTTTGAGGCACTGTACGAAAGACCACCACCTTCATTGGTTCACTATCAGTAGAGCGCCAGTCCGGTGGACGCGGTGGACCGTTTGCTTGGGACTCGGGATGAGGCCTTGGAGCAGCTCAAGGCCAATCTGGCTGCTACCAATAATAAGATGAAGCAATTGGCGGATGTAGGCAGACGGGAGGAGGAGTTCGAGGTGGGGGACTGGGTTCTGCTTTGCCTTCACCCATACAGGCAGGCTTCCATTTTCCGTCGGGCCTACCAGACGCTGGTCGCTCGTTACTTTGGTCCCTATGAGGTGCTACAGAAGATTAATCCGTTGGCATATCGTTTGCAGTTACCAGCGGATGCTCGTATTCATCCTACCTTTCATGTGTCACTGCTGAAGCGTTATAGAGGAGCCGCGGACCGGGTTGAGACGACTGCACCGCCGGTTTCTGCCGATGGAGACCTTGTACTTACCCCTGTGCAGGTTTTGGATACCAGATGGGTTCGGAAGGGAGGGCGCATGATTGAGGAGAGTTTGGTTCTGTGGCAGCACATGGCGCGTGAAGATGCTACATGGGAGGAGACGGCCCACTCTACAACAGTGTTTCCCGACATTCGACCTTGAGGACAAGGTCGTTTCTGATGGGGAAGGGGATGATAGAGACCCGCGCGGCGGCTAGGGGTTGGGTTTGGCCGACTGGACCGGGTGATGGCATTTTTGTTATTTTGTGTTAGTTTTCTGAAACACAAAATAGGGTTCTGCATATTCATTTACGGTTAAGCAATAATAAGATCAAAATCCCTAAATCCCTCTTTTCTCTGTTCTTCCCCAATTCTATTCCCAATTCCTAATTCTTCCCAAATCCCTAATTCTTCCCAAATCCCTAATTCTTCTTCTCAATCCCCAATCCGATTCTTCTCTACCAGCCATCGCGAGTGACGCCGAAGAAGGAAGAGGAAGGGAACGTAGGAGGAGTGTAGTCGTCAAACCGCGTCGAGGCTACTGTTGCTAAGTTGCGCTTGTGCACGGACAAGGTAGCAGAGGCGGAGTGGGAAAGAGACGATGACTGATAACGTCGGCCGGATCTGAAATCTTGAAAAACAGGGAGAGAAAGAATCGCCGGAAATTGCAGGGTTCGTGTGAAAGTGGTAGAATAGAAGCGAGGAAGAGGGAGGAAGAACAATTTTATATTTATATTTATTTTTGTGTAACTTTATTCTTTTTCCTTAAATGAAACCTGTTGTTATTCGGCTTAGGATAGGGTCAGTAACCATTGGTTACTGAGCTATGACTAACTAAATTTGGACCTTTAGATCTAAGTGGGCCCAGAAAATCTAGATCTAAGGGTTGTCAATTAAAGACATTTTATTTTCCCTAGTTTTCATAATCGGCTCTTATTTTCTTCATTTTAACTCGGATTTCAATTTTTTGCACACATGGAACGAGTTCGTTGTGCTCTACAAAATGAGATCAATTTTCAATATATTTCGAGAGACATTTTTTTTAGCAACTACATACCATATGGTAACTTATTCATTTTTAAGTCGTTTTTTAAAACATTTGCTCAGAAGGAACGAGTTCATCATGATCTATTGGATCTACAAATTTCTGGGTGAAAAAAATAATGGACCAAAAATTACCATACTTTACCACTATGGTATGTGGGTGGTAACTTGTGGTAAACAATGATGAAAGTCGTAAATGACAGTTAGTATACTCCTACTATCATGTATTCAACCTTCTTACCATATTGTTTTGTTCATACCATCATAGTACGCTTTCTTACCATATGGTATTAAATATGAGCATACCATATGGTAATGACTGGTAAAAAGTTATTCCATTTTTTTGTACTAAAAATATATCAAAGTGGATATTATTTTAAAGAGCACATTTAATCTGATTTATCTGTGCAAAAAAATTTAAATTTCAACTTAAAACGAGAGAGAAATCGTCCGTTAAAGATTAAAAGAGAAAAGACTTTCCAAAAGAGAGAATGCTGATATCATACGGATTTGAACAAATTACTGATGATTACTCACCATAAGAGTTACTGATCCGTTCTCTGGTTATTCTATCCGACTAGGGATGTCAATTTGAACCCGCCCCGTCGGGTAATACCCGACCTGACCCGCGATGAGGCGGGTATTACCCGACCCGCAGTAGAGTGGGGTGGGGCATGGGTATCAACTTCCGACCCACCCTGCCCCTCCCCGCCCCATTTGTAGCCCGTTCCAGGTCAATTTTTTAACCCATCTATTCATATATCTCCTATTTTTACTTTTATTCAACTAGTTAGACTTGATCTTTCAAGTAAATAGACTCAATTACTTATTATATTATCATTATTATTCATTCATCAAGTCTTTTCCCCTTCGTTTTCTCATAAAAAGTAAAATTGTCGTGTATTTTTCTGAAATAGCTTGTAAGAGTCAGTCGATCCGTCCCGCCCTGTACCCGCGCGGATATTACCCTCCCCGATCCATACTAACGTTGAGCAGAACATGAGTATTGAGGTACCCGCCCCGCCCTGACCCATTGCCATCACTAATCCGCTCCTATAACCCTTATGTAAATTGTCCCGAGTTAGTCTTATCGTGTTTGGTCAAATAGATAACTAAAATTAGAAGAAATGACGCCGTTTGGGGGATATTGGCCATAGAGATCTTAACACGTGTCAGGCGGTTTTATTGTTCTGCGAATGAACCCTCGTATATATACGAATAATATGAACCAAGCCTTTTTCTCAATAAGCGATTTGAACAAAGCCCTCTTTCTGTATCGGTCTTTGCGACTCTCTCCAGAACTCTCCAGTACATTTCCTCGCCGCTAACTCTATACATCATGCCTCGTCGGACAGGTCTGTTCTCCTTTTAGATCTGCTTTTCACATGTGCGAGTGTCTCTGTATAATACGTTGTTCATTTCACGTCTTCTTGTGATATCTAGGGTTTCAGTTTAAGCTGTCGGTGTTCCGTTAAGTTATTTGGTTGATGAGATTTGAGGGAGAGGAATGATATATATCTATGCGTTTTTCCTATTTCATTTGGCTGAATCGTATTTCTTTTTATCTTCTGAGAATCGATCGTCTAATCTCCTTCGACTTCGCAGCCGTTGTTTGGGTGGTCGTTCGTGTTTCTTTGTTATGCTTGTACTCTCCTGATCGTTTCTCTAGATGGTTATTAAGTGAGCGACCCAAGTCCGCGAATTAGTTTATTTCCCCTGAATGGAGGATCTATTATGGGACTCGAGGGAGATCGTGAAATTTATCTGGTTTGTTTTGGTAAAACCTTTTGATTGCCCCCGGATTTTGGTTTATGTAAGACCGGAATTTCTGATGGAGCTTATGCTTTTGGAGGACGTGCATGTGGTTTAATGTTGCAGGGATTGTTCATTTTGTTTGCACCATATAGCTGCTGCAAGATTCTTTTATATAATTTTGTTGTTTCTTATTTTCCAGTTCATTCTGTGCCCTCCCTTGAGTGTCTGGTACCTTTTGTTGTACTTTTGTTGAAAGACTATACTTTTGTTAAAGTTTTTCTCTGTTTCTTTAAGGGTTTTCTTAAGAAGAGTTACTTTAGAACCCTTCATATTGAACTGTGCTATGTCTGTCTTCTTTAGTTCTGCTATTAGTCTTCCAGCAATTTAGCTCTTAGACGAGATTGGTCAACAACTAAGCTAATCTGTGAATGCTTATGACAGGTAGATCTTCACCTACGGCAGCTCGTCGCCCTTCAGCTGCACCTAGTCCAGCACCTCAACCAGGTACAGTTGTGTTGACTATTATGTCCTTTAGTTGCCTGTTTGACATGTATATGTTTGATGTCAATTCTTTTGTGCATTGCTTCTTTCTGGGTTATGTTGTTGGAACTTGATGTATTAGAAGTGACTAGTTCTAATTATTTGTTGGTATAATCTTATGCAGCTAATCGTGCTTCTCCTCCTGCCGTTGCTCAGAGCAGTGGTGGCGGCTCATTGCTTGGAGGGATTGGCTCCACCATCGCTCAGGGTATGTGAAGTGTACAAGTGTTTATTTGTTGTTGCATCCTTAATAGTCTCTAGTGCAGGTTATTGATTGCAGTCGGTGAACGTTTTTCCCCTGCATTTTTTTATTTCATTTAGGGATGGCTTTTGGCACTGGGAGTGCAGTGGCCCACAGGGCTGTAGATGCTGTGATGGGACCTCGTACCATTCAACATGAAACTGTTGGTGCTGAGGCTGCTGTCCCAGCAGCCACTGCAAGCAGCATGTCTGCAGATGGTTGCGGTGTTCATTCCAAGGCTTTCCAGGATGTAAGTGGGCTTCTCATCCTAGGTCAAAATTGAACTCTGAAGCAGAAACCATATACTTTTACCGACTGATTGGGGTTGGTCAATTTTTCAGTGCCTGAACAGCTCTGGCAGTGAGATCAGCAAGTGCCAGTTCTACATGGATATGTTGGCCGAGTGCAGAAGGAACTCTGGTTCTGGGTTGAGCGCCTAAATGCTCTTTCTCGTTGTTCTGTCATCAGTTATCTATTTGTGCACCCTGATGGTGAAAACGCAGTATAACAATTGTTGTTCAGATCCATATTTAATAACGGCAGGACTCGAGTAAGGGAGCTTAATGAAATAGATAATTGGAGGGTATTCCAATTAAGTATGGAGCTTAATCTTGCTTCCTTCAGATTGCTTGGTCTCGCTTGTGATTTCATGTACTTGTGGATATGGATGTGCATTGGTTATATATCCTTGTATAACTAACTCTGAAACTTTTTTTAGCGTGTTCAGCAAATTCAGATTTAATAGTTATGCACCCTTGAATAAATAAATTTGAACCTTTTTTTTAGTGGGTCCAGAAAATTCAGATTTAATCTTGGGAAATTAAATGCATTCTAAATTTCGTAGTTTTTTTAATCAGCTTTTATTTTCGTTCCAACTCGAATTTCAAAATTTATTTTTATAGATGGAACGAGATCTTTGTACTTTATAAAATGAATTCTTGAATTTTTTTTTTCTATATGTTTCTTTACCAACTTCATATCATATGATATCTTTTTTATTTTTAAGTCGGTTTTTATTGGATATATAAGCATCTGGATGAAAAAATACAAGATAAAAAATTATCATACACTATTATCTTGGTATTGGGGGTGGTATTTTGTGGTAAACAATGTTGAAAGTCGTAAATGATAGTTAGTATACTTTTATTATCATGTATTCTACCATCAGACAGTCTTTGTATGTTCATACCACCATGGTATGCTTACATATCATAGAATATTTTTTATATTAATACCAGTTAATATTATCATGGTAAAGAGTAGTAAAAAATGTCTCAATTTTATTTGTTTCAAAATATATCAAAGTGAATATCATTTTGAAAAGCACAACAATGGTTGAACGTAGAAGCTCCAATCAATCACATGTCAGTTTCCTATTGGTGAGTTTATCTTACTTTTTTATATTTATTTCTTGATTTATTTATGATAATTAAGAACATTAAATGTTAAGAAAAAAGAAGGTGAATCCACCAATAACAAACTGACATGTGGATTGGTGAAACTTCTGCGTTCAACTAAAGTTGGAGCTCAGAATTTTCTGCCTGTGAGACCAATCCCAATGAATTCAATGGCTCACCCTCCTCTCCTGATGTTCGGCATCGATGAGTTTATCTTACTTTTTTATATTTATTTCTTGATTTATTTATGATAATTAAGAACATTAAATATTAAGAAAAAAAGAAGGTGAATCCACCAATAACAAACTGACATGTGGATTGTTGAAACTTCTGCGTTCAACTAAAGTTGGAGCTCGGAATTTTCTGCCAATGAGACCGTTCCCAACTGAATTCAATGGCTCACCCTCCTCTCCTACCATTCGGCACCGTCGTGATCTTCACCCTAACAGGGCTCACATAGTCACGTTAAGATGCTCAACCAACAAGTAAAGGAGGCTCATGTACTTGCCCCCTGGCCAATGTTGAAATCCACGACGTGGAAACCGTTACCCTTCTTCTCTTGTTTTCTCCCTCTTGTATAGTGGATTCGAGAATCAGGAGATTCGCCGCCATGAACCCGAGCTTGAAACAAGGGGAGAGCTCGAAGAGGAGCTGAGTCGATGCGATGTGATCTTCCCACAGTGAGGCGAAGTGGAGGCGCGCCACCTCCATGTTCAAGACCCACATAGTTGGCAAGCCCACCGTCATCCTCGCTGATGCGAAAGGCAACAAGTTCTTTATCCTCGTGCGGCTTTTAAAGGGTCTTGGGATTTAAGCGCAGAGATTAGGATACAGCTTAATCCTTCTGTCAAATTTGGATTTCGTGATTTGGGATTCACTAGTGTTTTCTCTTTGTGAAGATTGGTAAATGTAGGATTTTGCTGTATTAGACGATATGTACAAATTAGGTACCAAATAGGTCACAAGTGTAGCAAGAATGGAGCAAGAATGAGAGATCACGGCAGAGGACGTGAAGATCACGGTCGGGAAGAGGTGCATCGAAGTAAAGTACCAAGATCACGGCCTTCAACCTCAAGATCATGACCGAGATCTCTGGAGCAATGAGCGGGAACTTGGAGAGGAAGCCAACGAGGGAGAAGCAGAAGGTTTCGGCAGTTGACTCACGACCTCCTTCTTCTGAGCCTGCGAGAAAGATCGCGACCGTGACATCCGAGATCGTGACCGAGATGTCAGGCCGCGAACTTCCAATTTTTCAACGCGTAAAGATGTTGACCCGAGATCACGGCCTCCTCCCATAAGTTCACGGCCGTGAACTTTGCCCTACATCCGTGATCTTGCCTGAAATTATAGAATTCTATAAATAGGGGTTCCCCCCCCCCCTTAAGAAGATGGGTTTAGACAAATTTTGATTCTAGAGAGAGATTAGAGAGAGAAGTAGAAGTTTGGAGAAGAAGAGGAGGAGAAGAAGTGTAGGAGCGCTTTGGAGGAGGACTTCCATCAATTAAAGACCCTTTCTTCATGATTTCCTCCCCTCTTTGTATGTCTTTTCTTCCCCCGCCACCCCCTTCTTTCATGGGGTGATCTCCCAAGGTACTAGAAGTTAAAACCCTCAAACCCTAGATTAGGTTTATAATGTAGATGTATGAATTATGTTTGGGTTTATGATGGATATGTTTGTCTAGCGATTTTATTGCTTCATATATGCTTGATTATGCTTGGGTCCTACTCTTTTGCTATTAGCCTGCAACTGAGCCATTGTTGGGATGGAGTTTGTGATCTTTCTCGCAGGTAGATTCCTTCTTGGTTATGAATCAAATCGTGAAACTTTATGCTCGATTTTGTATCGGAGAGCATGCCAGGCCTAAGGGTCATGGTCGTGACATGTGGCTGTGACCTGTTTCTTCCTCTATAAGATGCAAATGTGGCCATATGAGTGTCAAATTGATCCCCATCCCCAATCAATTGTGGCCGAGTAGAGGACCTGGAACATTATCAGAAACACCAAACAAGCATAAAAAATGACAAAATAAGGAAGCTCCCCATAAATGAACCTTCATAACAACCTTACTCATGCTAAAACTCATCAAGTATGTCTAGGAACGAATATTATCATAAAATAACTTGAAATGTGGCCTAGACATGGTGATTTGGCACACAGAATGTCCTAACAATGAAGGACAATGACAATAATTTTTGTGTTATCAATTGCCAATCAACTCTAATTTAGACTTAGTTTTGGACCATTATTGTCTTATAGTGGTGGGTTGGTGGCCACCTTGACAACCAAGGAGGGTTACGGTCCAATGGAGAAGAATTGGAGAGGGGAAGGGAATAGCTAGGATTTTTGGAGAGACATAATAATCAAATATAAAAGGGTAGCAATTAGATGTGATATTTTTTTTTGTTTTCAAACTTACCCTTTGCTGGAGATGAAGTTGTCGCTTAGGGTAAATTCAAAAGGCGGAATATAAATCTATCCAAAAGCTCAATCCCCATCAAAAAGTTACTTCAATCAACATAAGGGTCACAGTATCCTAGGCTACTTAGGCTCCTTAGGTTCGATCGTTATCTAGTCATCACGTGGGCAGTTGGCAATTCCTAAAATAAAGATCGATAGTTAAGAAGCGGTACTCGGGGTAACTCAATCGCACTATCTTAGGTCTAACATTCAAATGACTAACTATGTTGGGTTTATCGGAGATGGTGCTTGAGCTCTCTAATCTTATGGGCCTTCGTCGTTATCCCATGCCTACGAGTACATCCCCCCAAGACCCATTGTCACCTCATTCAAGGCTCACGTTTGTGGGGCATTATGAATTTAGCTCATTTCAATAGATTCTATCTATCTTGCACACTAAAGAGACAGATCGACACACGCTTGCGTTCCCCTAAAGCTTTTTCTAGGAAGGGTTGAAAGCTTTTGAAGCACATGAAATTTATCGAAGCTTCATCCATCCCATCCTCGTCTATTGATCGGCACCAATTGCTTCTTCAACCTCCTCTCATTCTTGTGAGAAATCTTCCCCATGTTGAGTACCAAGCTCTTCATCTTCTTCACTTTCTTCTTACTTCCTCACAACCTCATCAATTCTCACTTCTTTATCTATCTCTTTTTGATGATTAAGAGCAATGATGGTTTTACACGCAATCTCTTCAATATATGGATCGTCAAGGTTCACTTGCTTGTCCACCTTCGAGACTCTGACACGCCAAAACACAACACCAATCTGCGACCAAGTGTAATCGCAGACCGGGAATGCAGTAACAGGCAAGTTATATTATCAACCCGGGGTCTAGATCTACTGCTTACTCCGTGATTCTCTATTATCTAGCCAACTAAAGTAAGTGATTGTTGTTTAAAAGCAAAAGCAAAAAGAAAGCAAGAATTGATACGGTTTTCTCAAGCAGGTAAGAGTCACTCGGGAATGAGTCCCCCTAGCTCCTTAGTTAGGTTTCAATTGTATTTCCCTGGGTTGATTTACTGTTGATTAGACTGCGGAAGATCCGACAGTAGCTTGGAATCTCTTAAGCTGACCAAGCCCTCTCGGTCTAACTACCCGGCAGACGACTAGTCTTCACCGGGATAGAAAGCTGAAGCAGTAAGAACAGAACTCCACTACTAGAATTGGATTCCAGTACAAAGTAGTAAACTGGCTAACTCTCGTATAGCCAATCTCCTACTACCGAATGTTGAGACTCTGGCAACCTAATCAGATTCTATCTATCTCAAATTGCAGCAGGAATCAGGAAAAGTTGATCAGACTTCAATTGACTCAATAAACATGCATCATTCGATTAAAATCAAACAGTAATATCATCCCAAGTCATTACAATCAATCCCTAACACATAGAACTAGGGTTCTTCATCCCCAAGTGAGAGAGGGGTTCTACTCCATAGAGAGAGAGAGAGGAAAACAAGATACAAAGTAGTCATACTCATAAAGATGAGAAAATCTGCTCTGGGATGATGATTTCCACTCCTATGACGATCTCCAAGCTTGATTTGATGAAACCCAGCTCCAAGATAGCTTCTAGGGTGTGTT